CACACACACACACACACACACACACACACACACACACACACACATACATACACATACACTGCTGGCACTGCTGGAATTTAACAATACAATGTCACAGATTCAGGTCAGTACAGTTGTATGAACTGATGAGCAACTTCCTGTTTCCTAGAAATATTTTTCAAAAGACTTAGATGAGGCAATCTTACATAACCATCATAAACTGCAACAGTCTTTACTCAGCTTTCGTGAGAACATCTTGAGAAACAAGAGCTCCACAGAACTTAAAACAGCACGTGTCTACGTATACTGTATTATGAAGAACATAATTATCTCCTTAGACTATACAAACACATACGGACAACTAAAGAAGGATTTTCACAAATCCAACAAATTTTATAATAAGCAGAAAAGGCACAAAGTTAAATTAAATGAGCTGTTTGAAGGAAGCTGACAATATTCTGTGATGTGGTTAAAGTAAAATAAACCAGCTCTAAATTCACTTCTTTGAAACTGTGTGTTACTGGGTGGCTGTGCTATACTTTGTACAGTAACACACACCACACCCCACTTTAACAGTAATTTCATAACCTGCAGTTTCATCTTTTGCATTACCTAATCTCAGTGACTATTTTTAACTAAGGATGGTGCATGTTCTTAGAGTTCTGTATATATGTCACTTACATCCTCCGGGAGCTTAGAAACAGGCCATCGAGCAGTAGAACAGGACAGGTTAGTGAGTGCATCATTTACTATAGTGTGTGGGTGGAAATGTATGCCTAGACTTGCAACTAACTTACTATATACTGAAAAAAAGCTTAACAATTTTAAAAGCTTGGCAATAAATTATAACATATCACACTTACATCTGTTCAACCCAAATCCACAACCCAAAAATGTGTTCTACAAAACAAAAAACAAAAAAATATAAATAAATAAATAAACATGAAGGTGGAGGCAAAGAGAGAGCACCAACCCTAACCAGACCAATAACAAACAGTGTGTGTGAACAATATTCATCTCACCCACCTGGAGTTGTGGTTGAGCTCTTGGGAGATGTCATCCACCATGTCGTTCTCAGATGCTTCATGTGCCATAGCTTTACACAGCTTACATGCCACCAGGGCCTTGGCCATGGCTTCCTCGCCATGCTGCCAAAAGAAGAGCGCCATCTTCTGTCGTTTCATAAGCACAGCCCAAACCATCAGCTCGTGGAAGGGGAAAGGGAAGTGATTGATTTCCGGGTCATCCAGGTCGATGTCCACCTCCTCCTCTCGTTTGCGCGTCGTCTTTTGGCGGCCTCTGCGGATTGGCATGTCATCCTGATGGTAATTAGCAACCAATGAGTTAGGTAAAAAAGATGTATGGAATAATAGAAACTGATTCTGAGCTGTAGATAGTTTAAAGTTCACAGTAGTGCAGCATTTTGTCTGTAGAATAATGTATGTAGTAATTGACCCATTTTCTACAAAGGGGTAAGAGAGAAATGAGTCCACAAAACAAAAATATCACACACTGACACATGGAGCTGCGTTTAAAAAAAGGTGCGGCATCACAACAGGCAGTCACGTACTGTATGTTGAAATCCTAATGCCACATGGGGATGGGGGGTGGGTATTATGTCAATGCCACTACCAAGTAATTTTGTTACCTTCAGTTCTTATCAAATATGACCTTGTATCTTAGCCTGTCTAAACTCCTTGAAATTTGCCCCTGACTCTTTAAGAAACTCCTACTGTTTCTGACACTCCCACTTCAGCACATCTTCAAACCAGTGCATAGGAGCATAGTAGGCAGTCTCCTTAGCATCCAAAAGTACTATTTATTAAATCTGAAAAGGATTGGAGTAGTTCAACCGATGTCTTCTGAAGCTGTGTGGGGGAGGCACGGGGGAGGGGTGCAGTGGGGCGAGTGCATGGCTGCGGATTGAGTTTCAAGGAGGAGCTTTGGGTAAATAGGCGGTGTTTTGTACCAGCAAAGCATTTAGGCAACTTCACATGGCTACCACAATAGATTCAAGGATTTCTCAAACATACATACATACATAAAGCCAACACAACACTTTTGGTATGTTTTTGATGAGGGAAAGACATTATAACATGACACGAAGCTCAAAAAGTCAATTTTGCATAATACCCCTCCCCCACTTCAAATAACACCTCGTATCAATCTATTTAATAGAGCAGTTACATTTATAAAGTAACAGGATTACAGGATAAATGGTATATTTATCCAAAGTTTAAATTATTTGGAGTTAAATTAGACACATTAGATTGTCACAAAATCAAACGTATCCTTTCCCAAACTTTAGACAAACTGACTTTTGTGACCTTATATGGTCTTTAGCTATCCCAGATAATACAGACTGCCAAGTTTAATTCATGTAATAAAAAGTCTAGTTTTTGTGAAGCACACTTAAAATATTTAACAATTTTGTTGTTACCAACTATACACTCAGCATATTTTACATATGAGGAGGCATGAGGGATGAGGAAGCAGAACAGGGGAGGAATAATTAAATAAGGACTTTGATGGGATCAATACTTACTTCCATTCCCAGCAGTTTCAGTGCTTTGGGCTAGAATAAAACACACAGAAAAAACACACATACAAAGTAAAACTTTTGTAGAATGAAGCTTCAATTGAATTTAATCTACAAGAACAACACACAAGGACTTGCAGACTCACTCGCAGAAGGTCATTCATATTCCTTACCATCAAAAATCACTTTCCTTCACATAAATTATTTTTTTTAAAAGACAAACTATATTTGCATTGGTGCGATTATTAATAGACTTTACATGAGGACAATAAGGTTGTACAGGTGGAGTTATTGAAGTGTTATTGTGTGTTTGTGTATGTGTTTAGTAAAAGAATGTGCATCTGTCAGAAAGCAGGACGGGTTTGAATTATGCATTCATGAGCGATCATCTTGCTGGTAAAAATAACCTGAATTTCACGTGGGAATGATGATAACCACATCTATTTCACGGCTTTGTTGTTACTCAACATCAGTTTGCAGGTGCACACACATGAATGTGCAATATTTTTATTATGGAAAATCACAGTGAAAATGGAACTGACTCGCTCTCATTTTGCCAAGACTCTGTCCTGCTTCCTTGCATCTCATCAGCTGCTTTGTTACTTCCAGCTTTGCCTCCTGCTATGATATAAACAGGCAAACCAAGAGTCAGAAAAATGCAATTGAGTAACAAACAAATAAAGAAACTAAAAGGACAAAGTGCATATTTTGGACAATGAATTCAACTAATAGGAGCTTCAGGATGTTCCGAAGGTTTTGGTGCTGCTATCACAAGTTTGTGGATCAATAAAATTAGATGAAGCACTATTTCTAGAATAAATGTTTCTTTATTTATGTACTCGAATTGTTATGTTTCCCCTAAAAGCAACAAATGGTCTGAAATGGTGCTAGCGCCGTGAATAACAGCTCCCTTGTGTTCCCCTTACTGTAGAGGTCAAAGGTTCAGGTCTGTACAGTTCTCCTGGTGTCCATGTGCTCACCCAGCTGTCAGACTCTATCTGTCTCTGTGGATCAGTGATCGCACCACTGATCTGCCAACTGTGCACTCTTCTATGTAATGAGCAGTTGAGGCCTTACAACTCTACTATATTAACTCTCTGCAAGGTACTGTCCATCGACCGTTTGTGCTCTCAGTCTCATCACTACCTGCATTAATATTTACCCCAGTGACCTGAAACGGAGCTGATTTCTTTTTATTCCTTGCCCTGTAAGCACCGTGATCAATAAATGTGCCACAATCTGACCTCATTTACTGTCTTTTTCACAAATTTAAACACAGATGTCTCTTTAATTGCTGTAATAAAACACTTGTCAGATACGCTTTGTGACTAAAGCTCTTGCCATCTGGGCTCTAAACATGAGCGCTCTTTCACAGTCACTTTAATCTTTTTGTCTTGTAATCTCAATTCTTCTGCATTTATGAACAAGCCACATAGCCTTATCTAAATATCTGTCCACCGCCCCAGAGTCTCGTTCTTAATTTGTCATAAAATTGTAGAAAAACGCATAAAATGAGGAACACAAGCACTTGAGTAAAAAAGAAAAAGAATAAAAAGAAGGAAAGTTTTGTACACCTGCGCATAGTTCTATTTTCATCCCACCTGTGGCAGTGTCCGAGTTATTCAGCCAGAACGAGCAGCAGAACATCATGTAATGTGCAATGTGTGTGTGTGTGTGTGTGTGTGTGTGTGTGTGTGTGTGTGTGTGTGGTGTAAAACACACAAACACTAAGCACTAGCATGATTTCAATTATCACCGAGTCCACTTTGAATGCAGGAGTCATTAGGCAGAGGGGCTGTTGTCAAGTGCTCATTTTCCATGAGTCATTATTGTACCTGATGAAGAGCCTCTGCAACGGATGGATGATTTGTTGCATCAAGGTTAAAATAGTTTGTGCTGTAATGTCATTGTGGAAGTAAATTGCAAAACAAGACTTTTTATGGTGGACCTTTAATAATGAGGAGTAATTTAATCACAAGAATTCACAGTTTGTGTGACATGTAAAACTGCTGTCAAATCAAAGAGCTATGATAAATAACATGATTTTAATAAAATAATAAAGGGCTATGGTAACTGGCCTGTGAGGATAAGATATTATGTAAACGTTATTCTGACAAGCTTTATACTAACAGCTCAACACAGTAGTACTAATAATTTTCAGAACTATTGTGACAGAAACATTGCCTCTACAGTTTAGGTACAATTTTATAGTAGAATCCTATTTTTTTGAAGAGTTCCTCATTTGAGCTGAAAAATGAAATAAATGCATCAAAGGTAATATCACTTCCCAACTGCAACCAACCTGAATCACGTTTCAGATTGAGGAGAACATTCAGATCTTTTAAAACAGAGCTCTGTGAAAAAGTTACAAGAAATTACTATTCTAACCTGTTACAGATAGCTCTTTGAACAAAGTTTGAAGAAAAATAGTTCATTTTTGACTGGATTGACCTCCTGATGGATGGTCTGAGCAAGGCCAAGATAAAAATGGATTACTACGATCTTGAAAAAGCTCAATCGCAAAAATGTCAAAGTGTTTCTATGAAAACTTTAGAAAGTTATACATTTTATATTATGTTGATGATTGAGCAAAAGCAAAATGAGATTTTATCTGGGAGCTTCATGGCCAGCTGCTCGGGCCGGCTGTTGCGTCAAGACAATGTCTATTTTTTCAAGCTGAAGTCATTCAAAGAACTATCTAAAACAGGTAACATGCTAATTGTTCATAACCTTTCTACTGAATCCCACTTCAAAAGATCTGATTTTTTTTCTTTTCAGGAAATTTCAAGCACTTATTGATATAATCCATGGAACACAAAGTGGGATTTACATCATCTTTCTTAAATATAATTCATTTACTGTATAGGACGACACTACATTTTTTTGTTTTGGTAAAAATATAGAATGGATGTTGGAAATGATGCAGATAGAATTTGCTAAAATACAAACCTGGTTTAAACTTAATAAATTATCATTAAATTTAGATTAGACTAATTATATGATATTTAGTAATAGAAAGAAAACTGTCGATGCTCCATTTAGAGACGAGGGTGGTGAGATTTGCAGAGTCAGTGAGGTGAAGTCTCTGGGTGTTATCATAGATGAAAAGCTGACATGGAGACCTCGTATAAATCATTTAAGAAATAAAAATAGCCAAGTCCATTGCAGTATTGTGCAAAGTAAAGGATTTATTTAATGAAAAAGGTCTGTTTATATTATATAATACAATAATTGTTCCACACTTGATCTACTTTATTGTTGTTTGGGGAAAATCATGCAAAATAATTACAACTCCAATTTTTATTTTACAAAAAAGAGCTGTAAGAATTATCATCAGAAAACATTACTATCACCCATCTAATTCATTGTTCCATCAGTTGAAGTTATTGAAATTCTTTTTTTTTTCTTCTTTATGGATGGATCCATAAAGAAGTTATTGAAATTCTATGATTTGGTTGATTATAGTATTTTATCAGTCATGTATAGGGCTCATAAAAACACATTACCTTCAAACACCCAATTACACTTTGTTAAAAGAGAAAGTTGTTACAATCACAAGGGAATAGAGATGTTTATCAAAGCCAAATTTAGAACCAGTTTAAAGGAACGGAGTACTTCAGTCCAGGATATAAGATTATGGAATAATCTGGAAGATGACATTAAAAATGCCAGATCAATGTGTATATTTAAGAGAATGATAAAGATTAATTTCCTGGAGAAATATGTAAATGTAAGAATTGTTCAATGAATTAAACCTTTGGTATTTTTTTGTAAACTAAAGATTATTTTTGATTGAATTTATTTATTTGAGAAAAAGGGGCAAATATAAGAT